ATATATATATATATATATATATATATATAGGTTCGATAAGATAGAATTATTGTGATTTTAAGATTTATCGTCGATTTTAGACGCTTTCGCTCGATTTAACGTTTCCATAATCAGAATCTTGTATGATTGCGACAATAATTATGGTTGCGGCTCGGTGTTTTATTTCAATATGAAATCTCGAAATTGATTATGACAAAATGTAATCTCGCTTGATTGCGGGAGAACCGAGTTGCGATTGATCATAGTTTTGCAATTTAGAAATTAATATTCAGCACAGATACGCTTTGACAGGGAGAAATTGCAGATTATTAATTGACTAGGAATTAATCATTGTCACTGATGGAAAATAATAATAATTATGGACCTTTTTTTGTCATCAATGGATAGATAGACTTCCGAGTGATATTGTGACCAATTTTCATCAATTTTATCTTCGGTTCGATCGGAGAGAATGATTCAGCTACTTTTTACAATAAAACGTGCTAATAAACGAGGATAGCTTCTTCATTTGCTTGATACGATGCGTCGTGTTACATATCGGCTCAGTAACAGGACATTTTAAAATTATCAAAAAGTATCGAACGTGCCTATATTTCTGAACGAGATTGAAGCCAGCTGCTGGAATAAATTTTTGATTGAAAATTTTTCGGTAGCCTGGCCCGGTAAAAGGCAACGAATTTCATTCGGACATTTATTTAGTGCACTTTTCGTGTCGCGCGAAACAAAACAGTTTCAGCCGGATTTCCATTCCGGGCGACGAAGTTTCCCAGCTGAATTCGCGGAGGCCATGATTTTCCACGGTGTTGCCGGACTCTATGGGGGAGAATGGGGGTGGGGAGAGGGGAGGGAGGAGGGAACTCGTGTCGTGTCATTCAGCGTGGAAAAATTGGATCGAAGGGAGAAAAGAGAATGGACGAAGGAGAAAAGAGAGATTGATGAAACCAGAATACTACGGGTTAAAGATAGCACAAATAGATTTTTAAAGTCAAAACTTCCGTGTAAAACGCCAGACAAAACTAGACTGAAATATAAAATGGGAAACTGGTCGAAGAAATATTTTGTAAAGCAAGTGAAAGAAACATTTAAATA